CATCAACATCTGGAATCTGAGGGTTTTTAAATGATGGCTGTTGCTTTGATATACATTAGCTGTGTGATCACTACTACTGTTCATTGTCGTTGGGAAAACTTCTTTTTAAAGTATTTTTTCTTGTTTTCTTATTCTGGCTATTCTATTTTCTGCATCTCTGATAGGGAACAGGGAAAACTGTAAGTGTGGAACAATTCATTCCATCTCTTTCCCTGGACAGAACTGATTTTTATTTTTTGAAGTAATTAAAAAGAAGTTCATCTTAATTGAGCTGATGCCCAGGCTGATACTTCAGTTTCACTCTCTTGGACTCATTTGAAAATGGAAATCAGATAGAGTCTCACAGTTTTAATTTACCTATTTACAGGGAGGGAAAAAAAATGAGCCATCTCGGCTAAAATCAAGAGGTGGAAATTCTATCGTCTGAAAATTGTTGCACCTTACATGCAAATATAAAACACAATTTTATGAAGACAGTAACAAATCACTGCAATGTGATAAAATCCTTTATCTTTCAGCTTTTCCCAGTTATACCCCAAACCAGGAGGTTTCAGGCATTTCCTACTCAGGTAGAGATAAAATGGGAGGTTGTGCAACTAATGGCGAGTATATTTTTAAGGGATACAGTCTCCGGAGCTAAATCCAGAGAAGATTCCATTACTTTGTCCCTACCCTCATTCTAGATGTGTGTGAGGAAGTATGAGGGGCTGATGTTCCTGCAGCTATGGCTCCTGGGTGGGACTCCTCACCCCAGGATGTCAGTGTAGGTTTTCCTCCCCCTGTGCAGTGGAGAAAATCTGAAAGTGAAATAGTTACCCAAGTGTAGATTTGTTCTGACCAGATAATAAGAGGGACTGTGATAAGGACTTGGCTGTTTAGATTAAAATGCATCGCAGGCTGTAGGAACTAGCACACATCAGTAGTAAAGGCTGTTTAAACCGTTGGGGACAGCCCAATGTTTAGATTACATTAATTCATAAATATTATACTAAATACCACTTAAATTGGACTTAAATGACTTCAAAGATAATGCATTATAATATGGCTATCCAGAGAGCACTAGTCTTTATGTTTCCCAGTAACTCAGTCTTTGCTGCCTCCTATCCTGCTAGACAGGACCAAAGTTATGAATGGATTGTCAGTTTATTTGTGTGTGTCTGTGTGTGTGTCTGTGTGTGTGTGTGTGTATAGGCCTGGGTATGTATGTGTGTGTTTGTGTGTGTGTGTGTGTGTGTGTGTGTGTGTCTGTGTGTGTGTGTATGTGTATCTTCAGTCACTGATTGCATTTGTTCTCCAGGAAATAAAAAGAAGAAAGGAGAAGTAAATTTAAAAAATGAGAGAGAGAGAGAGAGAGGGAGAAAGAGAGAGAGAGACAGAGAGAAGAAGTAGACTAGTGGGTGACCTGTTCTCTTTTCCAAGGAAGAAAAATTCTACAAAAAGGGGCAAAATTGGCCTTTAGCTCATTTCTGCTGCTACCTGGGGAATTTGCTTCTCTCTTCTTTAATCAATAGTACAATGTCTTTCTCTTTGGAGCCTAGAAAAACAATCTTTCCCAAAGTGCCTCAAATGTAGAGAAAAGAAGATTCTGAGTTAGCCGGAGAGTTTGCACTACACTGGGTTTTCTTCCTTAGGTGTTGGTTCCTTGAATTTTGATTTGGGAATATTTTTTTCTTCTTTTCTTTCTCTGTCTAGCACTCAGATCCCCTTCCCTCCAATTGCTTGTTGGTGTGAAAGGGGTAAATTTACCTTTACAATAATTACCCCAGTCCACAGCTGCTTTTTGTTGCTTTCCAGTCCAATAGCCTTTCTTGAGTATGACTGGGTTTTCTCCACAACACCCACAACTCCCTCCTCCACAGACTCCCAATTTGACTGGAGTAATTGCCTTTTAAGGTACACTCTACGCATGGCAGGTATTCCATTAACCCTTAGAACTCCTTCTTTCTTTAGTCACCTGAAATGGCAGGTGGCCAACAAATAGATACTCACCTGAAATCTCATGTATTTCTTCCCCCCTCTCTCTCTCCTGCTTTTTTAGAAACCAATAACATACATATGCCCTCTACACTGGAGGCCAGTATCCTGTTACGTTTCTCAATTTTATCCCACTATGGTTCATTAGAAGTTAGAAATTCAAAAAGGTAAGAGCCAGAACAACAAATATGCCCTGAAACCAGTCTTAACAAAGGCATGATTCCATCCCTAGCCTCATGTTGTCAATTTAGAGATGGGGAAAATATAGCAGCCAAATGCAACCCTCATTCTTCAAGCCTCATCATGATTTTTTACTTAATAGTAATTAATCACCAATAGCAAGCAAGTATTTTATAAGGTGGCCAGAGGCTTATTTTTTCAGGATTAGCTAATAAATCAGGCTGCATTACTGAAGGAGGAGTTCAAACTCTACTACTAGAGCTGAATAAAGCAGCCCTCGGAGATGGTCTCATTTATTCAGCTCTCCCGGAGCTTCCAGGCACTGTTAGGGACATTGTGGCTCAACTCTGACTCTAAAAATCAGAGGGATTGAGGAGCAGGAAGTTATTATTCTAAGGAAAAATGTATGCTTAGGCTCTGAAGGGTGAGCTGCGACAAGGAGGCACCCAGCATGCCAGAACCAACGGGCCTGCCTGTCACTGACAGACAGTTTGGGAGAAGAATTATTTGGAAAATGAAGTTTTGCTTGTCCTAGGAATTCTGGATAAATATATTTGTATAGGTGCATGTATATAAATCTTCTCTATTTTTCTTAGGGGAATGATTACAATTCTACTTCTTTACCTGAATATAAGAGATCCCAAATTACATTAGAATCATAGTGATGATATCAGCAAGGGTTTTTTGAAAAGAAACCAGGGAATAATGCTAAAGTTTATCTTCATTTGAAATAAAAAAGCAAATAAAGTGTTTCAATTGAGATTCCATAAGATGGCTAGCTCCCACAACTGTCTTTTGCCTCTAGTGGGTTATGATTTTTTTAAGTTTGAGATCTTAAATTACCACAAGAACAGACCATTAAGAATGGGCAGAGACTTCCCCACCTGTGCTGTTAATTTTTTTATTATTACTATTTTAAAATCTGGAGATCTATTAGAATGACAAAGGCTTAGTGTGATCCTGGATCTGCTTCTAAGGAGCTTGATTGGAAAGAGAAAAACTACAAAATAGGACTTGAGAGAAGGGGAGAAAGTGTTTCTTTCCCTTGAATGTTATTTCACAAACTGCATCCCCATTCCACCTTTTCAATCTCTCTTCTGCACAGACAGACATTTTCTCCATATTGGATAAAGGTTGATTTCTCTCTCCATTACAGCCCCCACCCTCACCCTACCCCCCAAAACCCAGTATATTTCCATTCTGCTGTGTTTTTGTGCTACTCAACATGCCATTAACTTTAAGATTTACTCCTCAGCAGGCAAGCTGGAAGATGCTAAAGCCAATAAAAACTGCTCTCTGGGACTCCAACTATGAAGAGTTTGGAGCTCTGTTTAGTATTCGGATGGAGGGAGGGCTGGAGAAGGAGGGTGATTGTGGTAGTGAAAACCGCTGCTGCTTAGAGAGCCAGACAGTCCACGCTCTGCGCCTAATGTGCTGGAGGATCGGCTCTGTTCATAGCCCATTTGTGGCCAAGGATGAAGCTGCTTTCTATGAGGGGGTGTGCGTGTGTGTGCATTTTCATCTTTAAAACCACCAGCTCTAACACAACGTCTTGGGCAGCTCTCTGCACTGTTTATTAAAAACAGAATGTCCATACACATCCCCTACAACTTCCTTAGCCCCATGCTCCTTCCCTGCCTGGCGATCAATCTCTCTCAGAGAGCATTTAACTTGCCCACACAGCTCCAGCACCGATTAATCCCCACCGCACATCCTATACATTACTGTTAGGGAGCAGAGCACTGGGCTAATTTCGTCACCCACCAGCCACCCACACACATTCTACAACTGAACACGTTTGGGGCTCTGCTTTAAAGATAATAAAACAAGAAGAAAACAGCCAGGCTGCAGACAATTCCCATGACCACTTTCCTAAAAAGTTGTTAGGTTTTTTTTTTAATTCTTTGATTATTCTGTCTCCCCTCCCCCAGGCACTCACTAGCAGTGATTGCTTCAAAGGAAAAAATAATGTACTATAAAGCTGTCTTCGTGGTGAGTTTGGGATAAATTAGTGTACACTCTTCAGAATGCACATATTGTACACACACACACACACACACACACACACATTTTCTCCAAAGCTCAGCTTTCCGGAAGGAAGGAGACTATCCAGGTTTCTCAGACCTCCAGACCTATACTCCACCAAGGGTATGGCTGGTTCCTTGCTAATTCTTGCCTTAGGTTTTCTTACTCCTTCTTTTGAACGTCCAAACCATCCCCTTCACTTCTCACACCACAAACCAAATTATTGAGACCCACAGCTCGACAGGAAGAGTTTACTGTTCAATTAAAGGCAAAATAAAAAAAAATCTCTTTGAATTGGTCACTTTGCTCCCTTTTAGACGGTTGCGCTCCCGCTACTCTGGCCGCGAGCAGAGGGCGAGGAGACCCATCTCCTGTAGTATTTTCAGCACCACGGCGGTGGACAGCACCTCCAGTCCCCGGCCGGCCAAGCGCCCGCCTAGCGCCCGCCAGTCCGCGCTCAGCGTCCAGGGCTTGCCCGGTGCCGCCGTCCCCATCCCAATCCTTCAAGTCACCGTATCTCGAAGCCCAAGCCCCCTTTCCACCTCCATTCCTCTTTTCTTTCTCTTTCTCTTGCGAGCTCTCTGCTCACTCCTACGGCACGGTTTCCATCAGCTCTTAGCCCCCCAAACCCAGCCTTGCCCCAGCGAACAGCTCCCCACGCACCCCAGCTCTGGTCCCCGCTGCCCGAGCGCCTCCCTCGTCGGCGCCCGCCCGCGGCTCGCTCTCGCCCCGTCTCCAGTGAGCCGCCGGCCGGCGGGCCGGTCTGCCGCTCGCCCCGCTCTTTCTCCCCCGGCAAAGTTGAGAGCGAAAGGTGCACTCACCTTTGTGCATGCCAGTGAACCTGTCCTTCAGAACCGTGAGCTCATAGATCTTGCCGAACTCCTCAAAGAGGGGCTTGAGGTCCTTCTCATCCAGGTTTCGGGGGATCTGCCCAATGAACAGCTTGATGGCATCGTGGTCCTTCATGGGAATGGTCGACGGGTTCCCCGGGCTGTGGCTTAATCCGTTCATGTGCCCAGCGCTGCCCGGGCTGCCGCCGAGCCCGTTGGTACTGAGGCTCGCGTTGTCAGCCTGTCCGTTTGCTAACGTGGCCATCTTTATATACATAGAGAAAATCTTCTTTCCTTTTATTCTTTCTCGCTCGCACTCTCTCGCTCCTCTCCCTCACTCGCTCGCTCGCGCTCACACACGCACACGCATACACACACTCGGGTTCTCTCCCCCTCGGTCTCTCTACACCTCGCTCTCCTCTCGTTCTATGCTCTCTCTCTCTCTCTCTCTCTCTCTCTCTCTCTCTCTCTCTCGTCTCGCTCTCTCCTCTCCCCTCCCTCCCCCTCCCTTCTCTCTCTTCCTCTCTCTCTCCCTCGATCTGATTGGATTTTTTTTTCTTTTCTTTCTTTTTCTTTTCTTTTCTTTCTTTTTTTTTTTTCTTTCTTTTCTTTTCTTTTTTTTTTACATTGAACAGACAGGATCTCTGTCCTTTCCGTTTAAACAGGCTGGACCGGTTCAAGTTCCCAGCCAGACCAGGGGTGGGGGCGGCGAGTGTGCGCGCGCGGAGGCGGGGAGCGCGGGGGACCTGGAGTGGGCGCGCGGTGGGGGGAGCCGCATCGCGGCGGGCGGCGGCCGGGGGTAGGGCGGCGTGGGGCGGCGCCGGCCTCGCCGCGCCTCCCCCGTCGCGGCCCCGCCGAGAGACGGTGGTACAGTCCGAGACAGCCCCCGGCTATAAATAGCGCCAGGCGAATGGCTCTTCGGGAGGCGCTGAGATTCCGAGCCCGGCGATCGCGGGCAGCGGGTGCCTGTTAGGAACCGAGCTACGGGCCTCGTCTCTTGGGGGGGGGGGGGGTTGGGGGAGCTTCTTTTGTAATAGCAGCAGGTGCAACTTTTTTGGGGGTATTTTATAAACATTAATGATCATTTTTGTGTGGTTTCGAGGGGGGGCGTTATCCACCTAAGCTGTGTTCTATTAGGGCGACAGGCTGGGGAAGGAAAGCAGGGATGGCGGGCGGGGCGGCGGCGGAGGTGGAATGGGCGCTTTTTTTTTTCCCTCCCATCTGGCTCCATTTATTTATTTATTTAGACCAGAAAAAGCGAGCCAGCTTGGAGGTAGTCCGCCCAGCGATCCGAGTGCGCATTGATCAGTGTCGAGAGGGGGGGGGGGGAAGCTACATAAATATATATTATGTGGATAAATCTATAGACAAGAGCTCGCGCGCTCGCGCTCTCTCCCCCTGATTCTGTGTCTGCTTTTCTTCTTCGCATTCCCAACCTGCCAGAGCAGCCCCAAATTTTCTCCCTCCCACCGAGCATCTACGGCCACTCGAACCACCTGGGAGGACGGGACTGGGTGTCCAGCCATGCCCAGGGAACGGAGAGTAGAGATTTGGGTCTGTCCTCCGTCCGCCTCAGCTCGCCTTCCGAAGGCGGGAGGCAGGTGTTTTCGGTCCCGGACGACTTCCCCCGTCCCGGAGAGCAGTGGCTGGTCGGGCCAGCGGCTGGCGGGAGGAAGGTAGGAGCCGGGCATCCCAACCCGCTCACCCGCCCAGGAGGGAGGAAGATGTTGGGCGCGGTGGCCTGTGAGCCAGTGCGGGGGGGGGGGGGTGAGAGGCTTGATGTTTGCCCTCGTTCGCTTTCCGGGTGCAAATAGGAATCCCTTCCCATCCCCCCCCCCCCCCCCCCCCGCCTCCCGGCCCAAACGCACTGTCAAAAAAATAAAGCCCCGAAATGCTAAGCCCGGCGGTAGCGGGACCCAGACTCCGGCGGTGCGCGCTGCCGGCCCCGGCAGGTTTCGGTATCGACACCGCCAGCTCCGGAGGTGCGGGGCGGAGAGTTTTCGTCTGCGGACTGAAGCCCCGCGCTCGTGGCGCGCGGGATGCCCCGCCAGACCCGCTGGGGGCTGCAACCTCCTCGGCGCCCAGAGGGAGTGGCGGGCACCAAGAGCCGGTCGGAAGCAGTCCCACCTCTGGGGGGCGAATGTTGGTGGTGAACTTGGCTGGGGCAGCAGATTTTCATTTTCACAGTGTTTACCTGCACCCCCATTCTCTCCCCCATTTGCATTCCCAGCTTAGCTTTAACTCGGGTACCCCCCCCCCCGCCCCGCCCCAACCCGACCAATTAAAATAACCTGCCGACTCTTCCCCGCTCGCGGGCTTCTGCGCTGAGGGCTGGGACGGTGGCGCAGAGCTGCTGGCTTCACCTAGGCAGATTCCCCAGCTGCCACTTTCAGGGTTTCAGGGTTTTTCTGTTTTTTACTCACGAATGACATCACGTTCCTAGACGACATGTTTAAAATTTTATTAAAAACAAAGCAAAACAAAACAAAACGAGATCAAGACCCCAGCAGCCTGCAAACCCAAGCCAAGCCTGTTTGGTACAACCACAACACCGTACTTTCCAGCACCAGAGCCATCAGAAGGCCTTGGAGGTTCGCCATCCCAGAGGCTCAACGTCTGGGGGAGGTGTGTGTGTGTGTGTGTGTGTGTGTGTGTGTGTGTGTGTGTGTGTGTGTGTGTGTGTGTGTGTGTGTGTGCCAGAGCCTGCCTCACCCCTGAGGTAGGCCCCTAAACCAAAAGAGCAAGTACAATCCAAACAACTGCGAAACTTTCATTTTCTATTTCCCCCTCTTTGCTTGTGGAGTCCTGTGTAAATACACTTGATGCGTAAATCGGTTTCCTAGGTTTACATTATCCAGTGTTTCAAGATGATCTAAAAAAAAAAATCACCCGAGTTGATGAAATCGAACAAAAACTCACATAAAGATTGGGTCTGCTATGGTTGTGTGCCCTGTGCCTTGTGTTCTGAAATAAGGTGGGAATGCCCCTGATTAGCACATGGTGTGTGTGTGATTCCGTGTCTTCTCAGGATGGTATGTGATTGCGTGAATGTAGCCTGGACATGTGACAGATCCTGCTTGTATCCACTGTGTGTGTGTGTGTGTGTGTGTGTGTGTGTGTGTAACTACCAGTCTGAGATTCCCTCACCCCTACCCCAGTTCATATTGTCAAAGGCTAACAGCTATCTAAAACATCTTCAACATCAACCTCATCTTGCAGTACTGGTGCTTGGCTCCCAGGATCTCACAGTGAAGTGGGATATATTTTCTGTTGTAACAAGGGACTTAGAGTAATTCTTGTTAGAGGGACCTCTTTCTCTCCCTGCCTCCCATTCCTTCTAAGCGGGGCCACAAGGCTGGGAGGTGAAGGGAAGCCAACTGAGGGCATCTGGTAAAGGAGGGAGCTGCTCAGTAGAGGACTGTGGAGGTTCACTTTTGTTTTTGGTTACCACCCTAGTTACCCCTAGGCCCAAGTGGATTATTCACAGGTGTTTAATTATTCACATTATAATTAATAATAATAGCTAATACATAAATAAAAGCAGTCCCTAGACAGGAGTGAATGAGGGAGTGGGGGTTAGTTGGTAATGAAAGGTTGCCCTTGTTTTTTTGTTGTTGTTGTTTTGTTTTGTTTTTCAGTTGCTCATGCTGCACACTTGGTCCTACTTCTAGAACAGCTCCACTGTGGTATCTCTCTCCAAGGCTTGGGAGAGTTCTTTTTTCTTCCATAAGCAAGATTTCTATTCTTCCCCTCTAGCACACTTGCTTTTGGCCTCTTTTACTTCTCCTCCCCCCCCCCCCTTAGAAAACAGAGAAGACTCTCACCTCTCAGCTTTGTGGTTGGTGTATGTTAATTTGCTCCACCTCTTTTCAGCTTGCTGGGGGCAAAAGCAGCCTGGACACCCAGGCTATGTAAACAGCAGCCAAAGCAGCTTTTTACACAGGCACAGAACTCTTAAAGGTGCAGCGCTGCATCTCTTAGGCAGCCACAGTAGTGTTGGGGATAAAATAACACAGACAGGTGTCTTAAATGAATGCAATAAAGGAGCAAGACCCCTGAGAAAATAGTATGGAACATGGTTAAGTTGATTCTTTGGTATCCTTGCCCTTGATATTCTAAGAAGACTTGAGTTAAAATTTTTTTAACCTTAGATCATCAAAGAGAAATGTAATTAGGGAAAGATAGGGGCAAAGTATTATTCACTGTGACATTTAAGCAGATTTAAAACTTTTTCTCCAAGTGCCACTTCATGGCCACAATTATTCCATCCACTGGAGAGAGGGAGAAGGCTGGAAAATAGAAGTGGGAGTGGAGAACAATTGCTTCTCATTTCCTGAGTCTGGAGTTTACATTTTATTGCCGAATCATCTCTGGAGGTGTCAGGAAGCCCCGTGTGCGTGTGCGTGTGTGTGTGTGTGTGTGTGTGTGTGTGTGTGTGTGTGTGTGTGTGTGTATGTAGGGTCTTGAGCTGGGCAGGGCAGGTACTCAGGCCTTACTGTTACCTTCTGTTCTTTCACTTTTCTCAGTTATCCCAGAGCTGAGCTATGCATTAGTCTCTTCCTTCTAGCACTCACAGAATCAGACTCTGCAGCCCCAACATGGTTACACATCCTCAGCCTGCTGTGACTCTGCCTATGAATCTTTTCTCTCCATCAAGATGGTGAATTTGTGGAAAGCAAACCTTGTGATCTGGTCCTCTCTCCATTACCACCACTCTCACAGTGATGAGCACATGGTAGGTGTGCAGGCTGCAGTTCACAGGTATCATTAAGCCACTCTGACAAAGGGAGGTAGGCAGTGCTGTATACATTTATCTAGGCATTAAGGGTAGGAACTGTACCCCTAGGCTGACACTTCCTGGAAAGGAGTTGGGGGGTCATGCATGAGAATGGGCTGTTCAGGGCCCACACAGTAGCTCAGCTTCCCAAGTTGACACTGCTTGGCTTGGAGGCATCACCACCCAGTCATCCTTGCATTTATCTAATCCTTCTGATCTCTCACAAGAAGCAGAAAGAGGACAGGACTGCAAAGAACTCACTGTCTAGAGAGACCAAAGTCATACCAAGTGAAAAGCCCCAGAACAGCAAACAGCAACAGATGGCTAAATGTCTTCCAGGCCTGAGCATTTCCACATAGAAGAAAATGGAGAGCAAATAGGAAACAATCCAACTTGGGAGTGATGATATGTGAGGTGAGTGATGACCTTGAGGAAAGAGAGAAAATTGTGAAGGCAGGATGCAGAAGGTGTTTGGCTGCCAGAGAGCTGGCTGATGGCCT